GAAATCCATCGCTAATTTACGGACATCTTTTGGCCAAGTTGCCGAAAACATTAACGTCTGTCGATCCGGCTGAAATCTTTGTATCATTAAAATTCGCAAAAAAAAAAAAAATGTATATATATATATATAAAAGGTAACTTGACTTCATACGCACTTAGATATCTTAAATTCTAATACCCACGAGCATTTCAGTACCCTCGAAACTGTTCACAGTGATAGTAAAGTGAAACTAACTCTTATTTGCGATACAACTTTTCTAATCTGAGGTTCAAATCCCATGTCGAGCATACGATCTGCTTCATCCAGTACAAGAAAGGTGCAACGCCGGAGATCGGTTTTACCCGCTTCCAGGAAGTCCATTAGTCGGCCTGGAGTCGCAATAATCACATCAACACCTGTAAAGCCGGAAAATGTACGGACCGAAAGCCTAAAAACTCAATTTTTCAGAGCCGATACTAATTTATTTAGTCGATGGAAGCCGTCCTTTTCACTGCCACTTATTACGAAAGCTTGCGGCAGCATATGCTTTCGAAATTTATTAAGTTGAATGCGGCACTATGCCTTTTTTATTGCTATCTGAAATTAGTAGGACGGAAAAACTGTAATGTGATTCAACAGCGTCCAAGCATTTGCGCCCGCAGCACGACTGGAGAATCGCGCGGAGAATTTTGAGAGATAAAAGCAACGAACAGCTTCGATTTATCTCCTCTTCCGGCACTAGAATAGTGGAGAAGGAAGATTAGAATTAGGTGTCATGTATAAGAAGACATTTCACGATGCAGTCTGTGTTTCATCCCTTAGCTGTGTACACAGACCGAACAATGCATGCGGGTAGAAGTGGGAATCGTCAGTACAGCCTCCTACCCGCCATGTACTGAAAAGAAATGTAACTAATTTGCAAGAAGGATAAGTTAAAGAGAAAGAGAAGGCGAGAAAGTGTAATAGCATGAAAGTAATAAAAGTGATGGAGCAGATGGAAGAGGAGAAGACTAACATATAACTCGAAAACTCAATCATATCATACACTATATGCAGCACGAAAGAAAACGAACCTCTTTCGAGATCACGGGCTTGTTCTGACTTTGGAGCACCACCGAACAGACAAGTCACTGACAGATTCATCACCTTACAGTAAAGCTTCGCGACTTCGTCAACTTGCTGAGCCAATTCTCTCGTAGGCAAAAGCACCAACACTGATGGGCTTTTCTGGTGACCTCGTGGCGATTGCCCAGCAGTGTGAACAATTGCAGGCAGAATGAACTGAACAAATTTGTATTAAAAAACAACTTCGACTTACAGCTTTTCATATAAAAACTGTGAAAATTCCAGCAGAAATATTAAAAATACACACACACACGACTTGGACAAGACTTGATGTAACTCATATGAACTATAAAACTTCCTTTTCCGGAAGCCTACGATATAGAGTCACAATCGATTTGGGCCAAAAAACAGAGCAAATTTAACGAACATTCGATCCAAACAGTCAAAACTCCCTTTCTCTTTTATGATTTTCAGAAAAAAAAAAAAGATAAATTACCGCCAGTGTTTTGCCGGAACCGGTTTTTGCAATTGAAACCATGTCTCGGCCGCTTAGTGCAATTGGCCATGAGATCGACTGGATCACCGTCGGTTTTTTGAAATTTGCCAGAAGCATGTCAGTGACGTAGGGCGGGAAACTCGCTTCAGCGAACTCGAAAACAGGACGAGGCAAGTCATCGCCCTCTACGGTAACTTGATTCATCGCAAGCCATGTATCCACCTCATACTGAAATATGCACAATCACCAGAAAAAGCATCAATTTTGGCTGCAACGTACCATCTACATGCATGAATACTATTGCTCTCCTACTTATGACCATGGGTCACTTCTGAGTAGGCCCAGACGCGCACCCATATAAATTCCAAGTTTTTGGGCACAAAACTCACTCTTCTCTCCACTCGGACTGAGTAGCGAGAGCGAATCTGGCCACCCACTGCTCTCAACAACGACGATGGCTATAACAGTAAGCACACTGTTGCTAGGAAAACGTTGGGAAAGGCTGGCATTAAGATGGAACTATTCACCAAAAAGACTTACTCCAGTAAAGAGGATGCGAAGAACTCTACGGTATGGAAAAGCTTCCAGCTGCTGCATCGCTAATGTAAAAAAATACGACAGTGAAATGACAACTGCTCAAAGCATCACTGATAACTAGTTCTCACCATAAGAATTTTCAAAATTATAAAACTCTCACACTCTTCCCAGCAGACGAAGAGATGCAAGGGTACGTTTTTCGTATTCATGGAAGTGTGAAAAAGCGGCAGCCTTGTCAATAAAGGATTACTGCTACTGGAAGCGTAGTGGTATTAAACAAGTGCATCATCCGCTTAGCTTTGGTTTTGAGACATTCCGGTTATTGCCCGAGGGCGAATAGGGGAGGGGTCTCTTATATACGTATATTTTCTTATACAAACCCAACCACCAAAAAAATTATACCAAAAAAAAACGTCTTAAAGGGGCATGTGAGGCCAATACTATGAAAATGAACAGTACAAGAAGTGCTGTAGTAGCAAATAGCTCTGAGTCACTGCTAGTCTGTCCTTGAGAAAGTCATAAGCCGATCCAGGGCGGTCTCCTGGAGGAAACGGGAGGGAGGAGGGCGATTTTTCACCTTAACTTCTTCATTCGTCACTACGCTCCCCCTCCCCCTTTCGGGCAGCTCCCACCCA